CAATGAACTCAAATAAATGAACATCTTTTTATTGAATAAAGTTAAAATATTGATAAGTTTCTCGTATGATCTTGTATTTCAAAACCTGGAGATATTGTATAGGGATTTTTAATGCATTTTTTATGGTGCTTTACTTTTATCCAGTGTCTTTGGATCGACATGAGCTTGAGTAAATGATGACAGAATTGTCTTGTATTTGCTGAGTTTGCGTTTCAGAAGAAGATGACGATAATGCATTATGATGTATTATTGAGATTGTTGTTAGTTGGCTTTGAAATGATATTTGTGTTTAGTGGATAGCTAATGTGATTTTCTGCTAAAGTTACGGTTAACTTGAGGAGAATTGATGTACATCTAATCTAATTTCATTAGAGTCAGCATGAAACAGAAGATGTGATGGTCTTTTCTCCTCTGTTATGCCGTATATCCGAGTGAAACGCTTCTGGAACGGGAACACATGTGGGCGGGGCTTGATTTTGCCTGTTGGGACTTGATTGGATAGTTGTGGTTTGCTATTGGCTGATCTCATGTGAGTGACAGGTCGCCCCGCCCACATCATCAGAGAAGAGAAGAGACGCTGCAAAAGGAACTGATTCTGATTCAAGATTACATCAATTCAACAAATTAATGATGTGCACCGATAAATCATTTAGGATAAGTACCGCAATATTCAATCGAAAAACAAGAACGGTGTGTATGCATGTGCGGTCATCGTTCTGCCGGACACCTGCTCCTCGTGTCCCGGTGACTCTCGCCAAGAGCCAAACGTCTGCTTCTGAAAACACGGCAATATTTCCTAATAGACGCTGCAGAAGACCACCTGGGCAGGGTCTGAAATTAACACTCGCCACATGCCGTTAAAAATCAACGCTGTCGAATCACCAGCCAATTTGGCGGGTTATTTATTATGCTTACTCAATTTACTGGGGAAGTTTGTGTAAGACGGATCTTAGTACTAATACTCGTGAGTCATCATGATTTATTAAATACGGCGCATATCTGGTTTACTTTAAAGGAGTAGTTCACTTTAAAAAAAAAAACTTTTGCTGATAATTTACTCACCCCCCATGTCATCCAAGATGTCCATGTCTTTCTTTCTTCAGTCGAAAAGAAATTAAGGTTTTTGATGAAAACATTCCAGGGTTTTCTCCATATAATGGACTTCAATGGGGACCAAACGGTTCAAGGTCCAAATGAGAGTTTCAGTGCAAACTGTTCAAAGGGCTTTAAACGACACTAGGTCTTATCTAGCGAAACGATCGCTAATTTAATAAATAAATAGAAAAAATTAAGTTTTATAAGGACAAATGTTCGCCTTGCTCTGTTCTGTGATCCATCAGAATGAACAAATCGAGTCATTTGGTTCATTTTTTTCGTTGAACCTTGACCTTGAACCGTTTGGACCCCATTGAAGTCCATTATATGGAGAAAAATCCTGGAATGTTTTCATCAAAAACCTTAATTTCGTTTCGACTGAAGAAAGAAAGACATGGACATCTTGGATGACATGGGGGTGAGTAAATTATCAGCAAAAGTTTTTTTTTTTTTTTTGCTAACTTGATTATTTTATTTTGTCCATCAAAGACATGGCAATTGATATACCAAAGAAATTGGCAAAAATAAAGCTAACAAAAAATAATATTTCATTTCTTGTTAGCTTTATTTTATCTTAGTTTTTGGTGTCAGTTACACACACACACAACCCCATAAACCTACCCATCACACACAACTTTATACAGTTTTACATTTAATTACTTCATTTTTATACCAGATCTGCAAATGAGGCGGTTTTCGGAGATTTAGTCTTGTCTGTGTACAAATTAGTCCTCTAAATATAGTTAAGTAGGTACACACACACATTGATTTTTTTTTTATTTTTTATTTTTTTGTAATGTTTTTATTTAATAACAACAGTAGGCTATTTCCTCCTGGAAATGTAAATCAATTTATTCTCTGCAAATCTGTTGGGTGCCACTTGAAACTTCATCTTTAAGGTCAAATCTTCCAAAGTTTCCCTCTCTCGTTTCCTCATCTTCGCCCCAGACAGGCGTCTTCAATCAAAGCACTCTTAATTTAAGTCTTGGCCTCTGAGGTAAAATGAGCTTCTAAAAAACAGCCACGCACAAACAAACACTTCTTGGGCCCTGACAACATTGATTCATTCCCTGATCACTTTTGCGAACTCGCCGTAAGTTCATTTGAAGGGTGATGTGCGCATCAGAATTCAGAGAACAAGACGCGAGCGCTCGAGTTTGTCTCATCTGGATTCGACCTCGGTAAATGAGGTGGAAAGCTCTCAATTCAGTTCTGTCACGGATCACTCAAGAGTTGATGCATCATCTATTTGAGCTGAAGGATGAACCCGTGACAGGCTAAAGAGATGCTCAAACCCAGCTTAGTTAAAATCAAGCTGGTTACCTGAGGTTATCTAGAGAGTCACATGGCCGTGTTGCTTGTAAATGCTTGACCCTGCGATGTAAGAACACGATGACAGCTCTCGTGTGTGTTTTCTCTGTTGCTTTGTTAGATTTGCGCCGCTGATCTCAGTCTCCTGGGCTTCAGGCGTCCTTACTGATGGAACAACACATTTCTCATACGCCACTGGATAATTAGTGTGGCTGCAATTAGCTAGTTGTATAAGAGGCACAATTAACTGTAAAAAGTTTATGGCAACAATGTCACCAACAACTGTTTATATATTCAAGCTCTGCCGTGCTTTATAACCTTTAAAGTGCCCCTAGTGTGCTAATTTAAAACGTCCTAATTTTGTTTTTGGCGTCACATGCACACTGTAAAAATGAATGCGCTTTTTCTAATCAAAAACATTCACTGTAAAAAATATTTTCAAGATTTGTTATCACAACATATTTTCTTTTGTCAAATCAACTTTATAATAATTTATTTAGTTGAGATAACTTATTATTTTGAGTTTCTGATGGTTAAATTAATCTACTTCATTGTATTAACTCACTTTTTCCAGTTCAATCAACTTAAAATTTTACTTACTTTTTTAAGTTAAACCAACAATATTTTTTACAGTGTAGTAATCACAACCTTTTTTTCTTTTGTCAAATCAACTTAAATAATTTATTTAGTTCAGATAACATATAATTTTGAGTTTCTGATGGTTAAATTAATCTCCTTCATTGTATTAACTCACTTTTTCCAGTTCAATGAACTTAAAATTTTAAGGCAACCAGGTTACTTACTTTTTTAAGTTAGACCATCAATATTTTTTTTACAGTGTTGTGGCAACAGATTACAAGCAATATTATTAATTGCATTTAAGAATAGAATTAAAATTAATTAATTACTTGAAAGTTAACCATTTGAAATGAGTAAAACGTTCCAAATAAAAGTACGTTAAGTCACCATTATGATCGGTGTTTGTTTTACACTGTAAAAAAATCTTTTCATGATTAGTAATCACAACATTTTTTCTTTTGTCAAATCAACTTAAATAATTTATTGAGTTCGGATAACATATAATTTTGAGTTTCTGATGATTAAATCATTCTCCTTCATTGCATTAACTCACTTTTTCCATTTCAATGAACTTAAATTTTAAGGCAACCAGGTTACTTACTTTTTTAAGTTAAACCAACAATATTTTTTTGTTTTAAAATGACGGTTTTCTCCTTCAGTGATTCTGCTCGTTAACATCAGATGTCTTCAATGTTGCCAATATAAAAATAAAGATAATATAAAATATTCAATCTTCGACGTCTGTCTGTTATTCAGATATTTTTGTTTAATTTTGTGGCGTAAACTTTACTCATTTTAAATGGTTAACTTTTAAGGAGTTTTTAAAGAAACTTTTTTTCTTTGTGAGGCAACATAATTGTCATGTATTCACAGAACTTGCATGCTCGCATTCTGAAACCTGATTATGAGAGATTTTTTTATTAAGATAAACTCTATACTGCATCTTTTCCTCCCATCTGTTCACAGGCTTTTGACAGGAGCAGTATGACAGCGAACCAATTTAAAAGCACTGACCTGCACCGAGGGGTCAGAGTTCACCTGCATGACGAGATTGCATTGACAAGGGAGGTTATAGTTTGACAGGGTTCGAAATTAAAATAGAACAGTGACAACATAGTGCAAATATAAAGATTGCGAAGAATTATTACACCAAACCCAAGCCATTAATCCAGTATAAATGTTTTCTCAACTATTTTTTGCTGTAAAAGCACACCTGAATCGATATCTAAACATCATTGAGACAAGATAAATTCTCCTGTAATTTGTCTTTTGCACTGGCAGAAGAATTAGAAAACAAAATACATTTATACAGAATCTTGATATATTCTTGGAAACCAAGCCTCTTGTGTCTTGTGCAAATTTGATTTTCAGGTCAATTTATTTAGTTTTAAGGATGTGTAGACGTTTTTACTTTACTTTCAGAATTAAACTCCACAGTGTTTACACTTCAATAAACCTACAGCCATTCATTTCAGCTTTGCTCCGTCCACAGCACAATTAGATATAATTACGCCCCGAAAATGGATTAAACAATTGTCTTTGCATGAATAATGTAAATCCAATGTCTTTCTCTGGCAGTCTTAAATGGCCGCTGTTCTCGTATTGATTTCTGTCGAGTCCTGACCACCGCCTCTCATGTCTCAGATCACCAGCTTTCTGTCATGTATCCATTTCCCCTTCACTGGTCTGTCCTGTTCGCTCCAGCGGCGGATCCATCAAGACCTCTCTCGCCTCAATATGTATCACTTTAAAGCTCAGAATTGCACAGTATTGTGTGTGTCCTTGTGCTAAACACAAGAAAAGTGTACATTTACAGTACATGCATGCCATGAAAACAAGAAACTCTTCTTCTAACCACAGGTCGAGATCTAGATCTGTCGTTCCAAACACACAACTTTGCAATGCTATTTGTATAGATGGTTTCGGGAAACACTGAATCGATGAACTGCTGATAACAACAGAATTTGCGACCACAGTCGGCTAACAATGCTTCTTTTTTTTAGCAGTGATTGGAAAGCCATGCTTCTGAATGACAGATCCTAGTGATGTCATGTAGATGGAGAATGGAAGCGGTCCCAGCACCGAGCCCTGAGGCACTCCAGTAGCTAGATGTCGTGACTTACCCTGAAGGACCTACTGAGAGGTAAACATCTCAAAAGTAAAGATTATTTACTGCCATTGAAGGTTCCTTTCACATGGATAAAAAGTTCTTTAGACATTTTAAATGTTCTTCACACACACAAAATAAGAAAATAATGAAAAAAATGAAAATAAGAATAAAGCTAGCTAACTAAAAATAATATATATTTAATTTTGTGTAAGCTTTATTTTTATTTTATTTATTTTTTTTTGCCAAATTTTGGTGTAAGTTACACACACACACACACAAAGAAATTTTTATTTTTTAGAACTGATCACTGCCAGTTTTTATAATAATAATTTTTTTTATAATAATACTTTATAATAATTTACTTAGTTGAGATAACTTATTATTTTGAGTTTCTGATGGTTAAATTAATCTACTTCGTTGTATTAACTCACTTTTTCCAGTTCAATCAACTTAAAAAAGTAAGTAACCTGGGTTGCCTTAATTTTAAGTTAAACCAACAATATTTTTTACAGTGTAGTTATCACAACATTTTTTCTTTTGTCAAATCAACTTAAATAATTTATTTAGTTCAGATAACATATAATTTTGAGTTTCTGATGGTTAAATTAATCTCCTTCATTGTATTAACTCACATTTTCCAGTTCAATAACTTAAAATTGTAAGGCAACCAGGTTACTTACTTTAAGTTAAACCATCAATATTTTTTTACAGTGTTGTGTTACTAACATCAACCACTAGAGGCGTCTAAACGAACACAACTGATTGTTCCGTGTGCGAGAAAGACAAGGTGTTAAACTAACCAGTAGATGTACACATTATTATAATACTTTGCCTTAATCTGATTTACATGTAATGTGTGAGCTCTCTGTGTTCATTCTGAAGCTTTTAGCCGCTCTGAGATGAATCTGCTGCGTATCAGATTCTCTGCTCATTATTACTCTCTCTTTGTGTTCACTTTGGCTCTTGTGCTGAATTTAAACAGTATGGCAGATAAATATATTCATGTGAGGAAGCCAAACATCTGGATTTCCTCTTTCCTATACTGGCCGATTTAGACCGCCATGCCGTCTCACTCCTGCCACATGTTGAATGATACGGGGCTGGAAACATATTACAATCTCATTTAATTGATATGAGCATGAACTTCACCTTAAATGTCTGTTATATATTTTTATCAGTGCAAGTGTGTCGTTGAATGAAAAAGAGCAGTTCAGGCACAAAGACACCAATGTGTTTTGAACAACATGATGCTGAATGAAGGTTTGAGTCAAATAGCAACATTTGATGTTGTTTGCACACTTCAGACTGTGACTTTATGAATGTGGTGACATAAAACAAAGAAACACCCATAAAAAAGACAATAAATTCATTGTGGTTAAAGCAACACCGAGGAACTTTTCCTCTGCGGGCGCCCTACAGGTTGCAAGTGTAATTGTCCATTACCGCTGTCGTAAATAATTAAGCCTACCGTCGCAGGTATTAAGCCTTTCCGCCACAGAATGAAAAATAAAAAAGGTAAACTCGCAATTGTGAGAAAAAACGTCAGAATTGTGAGTTAAAAAGTATTTTTTCTCGCAATTGTGACTTTATTTCTCAGAATTGCGACTTTATATCTCACAATTGAGACTTTATTTCTCAGAATTGTGACTTTATATCTCGCAATCGCGACTTTATTTCTCGCAATTGTGACTATTTCTCAGAATTGCGACTTTATTTCTCGTAATTCCTACTTTATTTCTCGCAATTGTGACTATTTCTCAGAATTGCGACTTTATTTCTTGTAATTGCTACTTTATTTCTCAGAACTGTGACTTTATCTCAGAATTGCGACTTTATTTCTCGTAATTCCTACTTTATTTCTCGCAATTGTGACTATTTCTCAGAATTGCGACTTTATTTCTCGTAATTCCTACTTTATTTCTCGCAATTGTGACTTTCTCAGAATTGCGACTTTATTTCTCGTAATTCCTACTTTATCGCAATTGTGACTTTCTCAGAATTGCGACTTTATTTCTCGTAATTCCTACTTTATTTCTCAGAACTGTGACTTTATATCTCGCAATTGCAACTTTATATCTCACAATTGTGACTTTATTTCTCGCAATTGCTACTTTATTTCTCAGAATTGCGACTTTATCTGAGAATTGCGACTTTATATCTCACAATTGCGACTTTATTTCTCCGAATTGCGACTTTATATCTCACAATTGCGACTTTATATCTCACAATTGCAACTTTATTTCTCAGAATTGTGACTTTATATCTCACAATTGCGACTTTATTTCTCGCAATTGCTACTTTATTTCTCAGAATTGTGACTTTATCTCACAATTGCGACTATTTCTCAGAATTGCGACTTTATCTGAGAATTGCGACTATTTCTCACAATTGCGACTTTATATCTCACAATTGCGACTTTATATCTTACAATTGCGTCTTTATATCTCGCAGTTAGGACTTTATTTCTCAGAATTGCGACTTTATATCTCGCAATTACAACTTTATTGCTCAGAATTGTGATTTTATATTTCACAATTGCTACTTTATTTCTTGCAATTGCTACTTTATTTCTCAGAATCGCAACTTTATCTCACAATTGTGACTATATCTCACAATTGTGACTTTATATCTTGCAATTGCGACTTTATTTCTCAGAATTGCGACTTCATATCTCGCAATTGCGACTTTATTTCTCAGAATTGCGACTTTATTTCTCGCAATTGCGACTTTATTTCTCACAATTCTTACTTCATATCTCGCAATTGTGAGATGAAAAGTTGCAATTATTATTATTTTTTTATTCAGTGGTGGAAACAAGCTTCCATAAGCTAGAGTATGTTGCATGATTTCATGACTGTAAGATGTATTGCGACATCAGAAACGAAGAAAAACAAATTAATGACTATTGTAACGCTTGTCGTAAAGCAAGTCAAATTTGTAATTTTCTTATGTCTCATTATAACTACAGAAACAAAACCCGATCTGGCAATCTTACATTTTGGTTATAGCAGATATAGGCAGTTCCTCCAGGATTTCACGATTTTTTTTTGTGATTTTTGCGATCAAAATGACTGATTTTGTGGTGGTAATTTCCAAAAATTTGTGAAAAAATTTGCGACATTTATATATAATATTTACCATAATAGTTTTCAGTCCTTCCAGAAAAACGCGGAGTTTTTTTGTGATTGTTGCGGGCAAAAATTGATTGATTACGCGGCCCGTTTTCTTTTAAAATGCAATGGAATATGCGGGATATTTATGCAATGAAATTGCAGGAATTTGCAAAAATTGAGGGAACTTGCAAAAATTGCGGTTTGATGAAAAAGAGAAAGAGAAAAAATGATTCCCCCAACACCCTGTTCTCACTAGGCTAATGTAAGAGTCATTTCTTATTACTTCCTTTGATAAGCAAGCATACTACATCATAGAAAGTGCTGGGAATGTTTAATTTCTCATCTTGTTTTATTTCAGACTGTAATAACGAGTGTAAATAAGGTGTGGCCCCTTTAAGAGCTGTGCGCTCCCTGTTGAACTCTCTACAGTGTTATATGTGCGCCTTGAACACCCCATGTGTGCGGGTAATTTCTGTTTGATGCTACACTTCTTTTATCTTATGTTGTTTATTAAGTAACGATGTGACGGTAGAACGTGTGACAGACAGTTATACGAGTTCGATTTGTGAGATGTCAATCGCCTCCGCGAGTCTGTCTGGCGTCGCGTAATTGCGTCACTTCATAACGTTCCCATGGAAACAGGGGGAAATGGCTGCTCTTGTGTGAAGCAAACGCAACATTTTTCAACTTTCTGCTAAGATACATGTGACTTTTTTGCAATGAAACTTTTTTTGCAGCGAGGATTATGAAATTATGCAAACCCCGCATATTTTGCACGGAAATCGGCAATTTATGCGGCGAAAGTGCGGCGTATTTGAAAAAATGCGGCCCCCGCATAAATATGCGGACTTTGGCTGATTTTGTATTGAATTCAGCGATCGCATAATCGCGTTTTTCTGGAGGGACTGTATAGGACCGCAAAGCAGAGGCATAAGTGCCTTTCACCCTGTTACAACTTAATGAAACGATTTTGGAAACATTATTTTAAGGTAAAAAATCTTACTTAGTGTTGCTTTAACCTGTAGGTTTACTCTCATTTTGGATATTGGCAGTGATGCCATAGAAGAACCATTTTTGGTTCCTCAAAGTACCTTTAAGTGAACAGTTCTTTAAAAAAAAAAACCATTTGATCTTAGTGTAAGAACATTTTAAGAACCTTATTTCATTATATGGAAACTTTTGTTCAGTAAAATGTTCAATGCATGTTAAAGATTCTTAATGGAACCTTCAATGCCAACAAAGATCCTTTATTTTTAAGAGTGTTGGACGTCGGGGAGAACAAAATGATTTCCAAGATAGTAGTAGCGGTTATTTGTTGCTAGGTTACTTTGCTCTGTGGATCCATTGTGACAAAAAGCCCCTCTTGAGATTAATCAGGATCAGAGCTCTGGATGGCTGGATCTGGAGATGGAAACACAAATGCCTGAGATTTTCTAGGACCAATTTAGCTAATGTTACTTGTTTTCTGACATCATGTACGAGTGCAATTAACCATGTTTCATTTTTAAAAAATAAAACTCATGTCATTTTATTAACAACATAAACTCTTTGAAAAAAATTATTTGAAATAGAACAGTTTATCAAACCTTTAGACAACATCTTACTTGTTTTTGCATATATGTGTGTTTTTTGTTTTATTTTGAGGATTATATTTGACACGCTTTTATGGATATTATGATGTATTGAGAATATGGAGGAAAATCCTCCCTCAATTATATTCAGAGACCCAAACTGAGCAAAAATATGCAATTTGCTGCAGATGCTGATATTTATATAGACAATAAATAAGAAGAAATTCTGATGCTTGTAATATAAATAAATGAGACATTTATAAAACAGATTCTTGCATATCAATAAAATGCATATCAATATCAATATCCACCAGTAAGATGGTATTTTAATGCTTAGTTTTAAAGCTCT